GGGGGTTGTTGGTTCCATAATGGATTTAATCTCCATTAATGGATTCAATCTTCTTTCCTAGTTTTTGTTACTCCGTAGACTAAATTTATCACTTACTATAATTTGATTGAACATTTGGCTGGAGCAGATCTGTTTGGTTTGGCTGAGTTTTATTGAGAAACAAAAAAGGAATCTCTCTCAGTCTCTGAAGTCCTGTCGTATTTCTGCTCCAATAATTCGATATTACCGTCTTCACTTGTTTCAATATTTTTGCAATCCTAATATCGTTTCACCCCATTTTTACTCTTCTCTAGAAATGGTCTTCACTTGTTTCTATATCTTTTTAATCCTAATATCTTTTCTTCCCATTCTAACTCTTCTTTAGAGAGCATCTGTTAAAGATGGCAAACATCTCCATGTCCAAAAGATAAACAGCATGAAGAATGGACAGATCACAGCAGATAGATTGTCTTGCACACGTTGTGCGTATACCTAACAGATGTCCAATGTTAGCCCTGCCACCCATTTGAGTGTTCAGCTTCAAAAATATAAGTAAAAACTTAATAACTATTAACCACTTAGCAGGAGATTTAATTGATTTAGAACAATTAATATAAATGCTATATGAACAAAACAATATTCTGCGAGCAACATACCTGACAATTACAAGTTGTAACAGATGGTAAATTAGAAGATATACAGGGATAGAAGAGGTAATAGCACAACATTAAAGAAGTTTATTCTACATAAAATGAGAAACATCAAATACAAATAAATGAAGCTACACTCGGAAACCAAAAACATGTCAGTTGATCTCTGTGAGCACTTTTTTATCTTTTTAATTTTGATAGGTTCCAAGATGAGCTCCTCTTACTAAAAAGTAGCTGGTCTCTGAGCTTTCCTTTGTCCTTCTATAATATACACTGTTACCAATCAAAAAAGAAAAGGACCAGAGTATTCCACTTAAGCTAACGAATATAACCTTCTCTTTTCTTTTTTTTTTTGCGAAATGTAAATATTTCAAGCAGAATATGAACTCATTTCCTCAAAAAAGATGAACATATATTCAGTTGGCTTATGTCATTTGTTTTAGGCATAGAACACTTCTTCAGAAAGAAAATGGAGTTCCAGTGCTCACTAAGAGAGATGGTAAATACAACAAGCTCATTTATTCTAATGAACAACATTAAGCCCAAGAACGAAACTAGGCCGAACCAGGAAATTTTCAAATCAATCATTGGAGGAAGTAAGTGCATAAGTAGGAATAACCAGAACTAATGTAACCGGGAAATTTTTTTGTACTTCCTCCTGTAAATGAGGTTGAAAAGACGATTACGATTATTGAAAGAAAGTTAGCCTTATTATCACGGATCACCTAAAAGTCCCAAGGACTCTGCAGGGTAAAACTCCATTAACTCTGTTAACCGATTGAGATTCACCATTATGCTAGCTGCATAAACTTTCAATTGCATTGAATGACATGACTATTCAGACACAATCGTAGCAATTAATTGCTGCATCCTCAACAGAATTTAATTGTGTAAGTGCTTAAGGACTAGAATCTCTTCCTTTAGAAAGTTTGTATCAAGTCGTTGCAAATGGATAGAGAAAACACTAAAAACGAGCCCTTAAGTTTGGTATACTCAAAGTAGTTCTTGTAAGATGAACAAGACTCTGTTTACTTGAACTGTAATGCTGATGAACACACTGTTACCATTTTCAAACACAAAAAATGTTTGGTTTACTCAAACAAAACCTGATTATCATGTGACGTACTAAAAATCCTCCACGTATGCCACACCGTTGCACTTTTCCGTCCAAAACTAATATAACCCACTTAAAAGCTCACCTGAACAATAAACTGTTCATTCCCAGAAAGCAGCAACTATGTGTGAAATGATAACAACGTCCCTTGACGTCAGATACGATAACAACAGCTTTGATCAGAAAAGAACACCAATGCAGTACCATAAACAGTTCCATGCTCAAATGACAATAATTATAACTAGTCCGCAATTCATACTATAATTTATAGACATATAACCAGAAATAAATCAACAGATAGCAACAGAATCATAACTTACCTGAAGCATTCGCCATGGAGAACCACGCCAAGGGCCACTTTGAGGCAAATTGACAGATGAAACAGTCCCTTGAAAGCAAGCCGTTCTAGATGAATCCTCCGTCTCCACAGCCATCTTAACCCTCATACCGACGGTCCAAAACACAGTTGACGACGCCTCTACCGCTTCTGCCCTCACCACAAAATCTGCCCAGCCTGCCCGAGGATAACACGACACCTCAAACGCCATTCCCCGTGCTGCCATTTCTGCTGCCTCCACAATCGCCTCCGTCGCCACACGCCCCTGCCCAGTCCTCCAACGAACTTCCCCGCCGCTACTGGTTTGTTCAGTACTTCTCAAAACAGTAGAATTCCACCTCTCGCAAATGTCGTTTCCTCGTGTGGCTCGTCGGACTCCGACGTAAAGTTCTCCGGTGTTAGTTTTCCGTGCGAAAACCGCGGAATCACCGGCGACGAGCTTTTTACTGTTGACGAACTTGCTCCAGCCGGTAGTTAGCAAATGCCGGCGAGGCGTGCCACGATAAATGTGCCGAAACTCCCATACACAACCATGAATATCGCGAATAGACAAATTCTGAACCGGCGGTTCAGCCACGAAATTGAGCCTAGGGAATATCGAATCAGCGCAGAACCGTGGCACAGAAAAACCTCCCCCATTGTTCGCATCCGAAGGTGTTAAAATCTTAACGAATGAAACGACTTCGTTTTCTGCATCCTCCACGTCACCATTCATATTCACAGCAACGTTGTTATTATCCTCGCTCTGGTTAATCGGAAGCAGGAAAATTTTAGCATAAGCCTCGTCGGTAACGGAATCAGCGAGAAAACGGACGGAGAGTACGCGACAGAGAATAAACGGAGGGATAAGAGAGGAGAGGAAAATAGGGGACCCACAGTTGGCGTGTTCGGCGTGTCCTTGCGGGAAGTAGTAAACCCTGGTACCGACGGTTGGGATTTCGACAGAGTTGCCGGCGATTGCTTTCCAGACTGTAGGGTCCACATCATTACTTACGGCGGGGACGGCGGTGGTTGAAGGCGGCATTGGTGAACGACGGAGTGCAGAGAGAATGTGGTGTGCGTGTGTGTATACTGTGTGTCTGAGAGAGAGAGATATTCAGAAAGAGTTTTTTTTGGTAGATATATAGGTGTATTGAGAGTGGAGTGGTCGGATTGCCGTTCAGGGGTCGGAAAGAGAAGAAGGAGTATAGTTTACCCTTGATTTTTGGTATTATTTACGAAACGAGGCACGACAATTTAAATGTAAATTTTGTACTTGCATTTCGGGGTGAGGGTGAGGAGGTTGTATTGACGCGAGATGGAGTTGCGTGGGGTTCACCTCCTTTGGGAAATATCCCGGATAAATTTGTTTATGCAAAAGATTTGAAAAAGTTAAAAGTTACTAATTGACTCCCTGCCCGAAAAAAAAAGTTAATTCCCTTTTTGTTGTACATAGTACTATTGCTATTGAAAGTCAAATAGGAATTTTTTTTTTCTTTACTATGAGTTTTTCATAATTTTTAAGCTGTAAAGAATATTACTTTTCATTGTACTATTGCTACTTAGTTTAATTNTTCCACTCCTAACCACTGGGAGAGTTTGTCTAAAATCACCACCGAAAACGACCACTTTTCTCCAAATAGAGCATTTGTATCCATTAAATCCTTCATCAGAATATCAAAAGTTTCTATCACTTTCTTTTTTGCCATAGATACTTCATCCCAGACAATTAGTTTTGCATCACGTATTAAAGTTGCAAGTGCGCTTTGATTACTAATATTGCAAGAATATTGTTCATCGATATCAATAGGAAATTTAAAACGGAAGTGAGCAGTTCGTCCTCCTGGGAGGATCGAAGCTGCAACACCTGAACTTGCTGTTGCTAAAGCGACAAAACCTTTTGATCGTACAGCAGCTAATAAAGCACGGTATAGAAAAGTTTTTTCAGTTCCTCCAGGTCCATCAATGAAAAATGCCTCTGTATTTGTAAGAAATATCTATAAGATCGTGTCATACGTCTTTCGTTGTTCGATTATTTATTTCTCTCTAAGAGACTAATCTTCTTCTACTAACTATGAT